CGATTAATCTTAATATGAGCTTGTGGGAGAACTCAGATTAAAATTTGTGAATAATTTTCGATATAATTTTGTTCTGGAATGAAATTCGTAGTTGTTTTTCAATGAAGTTTGCAATTAATTTGTTAAGATGGGTTCTTCATTCTAATGCGAATGAAAATTTGTGATTTAAAAGCAGGATTGATTAGTGGTTTGAGCTTGTGACTAATTCGCATTTTAAGTTAATCCCTAGTTCAAAATTTGTGATTATCTTTTGGTTTAAATTTATATATGGTTAGTTGTTGACTTGTATGACTCACATAATTCCCTAGGAAATCATGATTCAACTTTCTCTTTGATAAGTTGAATTAGGATTAGGTTTTAGGCTTTCACCCAGGAATTATAACTTCTAGGATAGGAATTCCTCTTCAACTTGACTTTAGGTCAAATTTTTGGCATGATAACATTAAGTTAGTTTCCCGTTAAAACTCAATCTTAGGGCTATAAGATTAGGATATAATTCATTTTCTCATCCTCAATTATGGGACCATTTGGCATGACAACATTTAGGACCGAATCTCCCTTAGATTTTTCTTTTGCCTCTTGGAGTCTCTTTCCTCTCTCTCTTAAACAAAATCAAAACACTTAATAAATACGATGAGTATTGTATGCCATGAGCCTTAAGTATATGAGAAATGATGAGAGAGAGTCTCTCCTTACCTTGTCTAGAGTGCTTTGCATACGTCCCGTTTTGGGTCGATCTTGCAAAGCATTCGATCCTATGTCATAGGCTTTAGTGCAATGCACATCTCAAACAAAGTCAATTCACTTCTTTAAACTTCTTAAATAAACTGCAAATCATTTTGTCCTTCGGGATTTTCCTGCCAAACCTTTTCAGAAAGGGCATGCTATTTCCGTTCTACTACTAACAGGTAACATGTAAGGCTTCAGACAAGGAACGACAAACACCTAATTGCTGGAACATGAACGTTATCATTGCCCATAAAAGACACTAAGCAACTCGTGGTCCCACGAACTACGAATGCTCTGATTTCTTCATTCTCATCCAAATGAAGATACGTAGGCACAAGACAGCGAAGTCTTGGCGAGCACAATCCCCCCATCACCCGTAGTCCTCCGAACTATGTTGACTCTGACTTTCCCATTGCACGAGGGAATACGTAGGCCTAGGACGACAAAGTCCTATCGAGTTTCCTTTTGTTTTCCCCCTTTCGTTAGCAAGTAGAGCTTTAGATAAACACACCCTTTAATTAGAACAACAAGAGTAGATCCCGTTGAGTACAACGGACGCGAGGGGGTGCTAATACCTTCCTCTCACGTAACAGATTCCCGAATCCAAGACTTGGTTGCAAGACCATGTCTTTTCCCTTTTTGAGGTTTCTTCGATCGTTTCATTTCCTCCGTCGGGATAAATAACATGCAGTGGTGACTCTGTTTTTCCACCGGTTGTTTTTTGCGTTGTGACACCCCCGGGAGCAGAAGTAAATGAATCATGCCCCACAAGGAATTCAGGCTTAAATAGTGCAGCTGGACCTAGGAAGATTAGATATTGGAAAGATTTATTAAATGACCCCGCCCAGCTCGTCAATCTTGTTCTTAGCTCGCCCTGGTCCTCGAACGGATATGATGCTTCATTCTTTTGTCTCTGAAGAGGAATGTTCATATTTCGTGAGCAAGGTAAAATTTGTTTGATAAGAAGAAAAGGTGGAAATGTCATACCAAATGTGTAATCCTTAGGTAGCCCTGATGTTTGGTACTATGGGTAAATGGGACGTCTTCACACCTGACAATATTTGAAAGGAGAAAGAAGCGCTCTAGGAGCGCATTGACGCCTTAGTCATGGACCGGGACTAGTTTATTGATGAGATCATTAAGTCTAGAAACATCTTGAGGGAAATTATTTTTGAGGTGGGAGCTTTCAAATATTCTCAGTTATTGGTTGTTAAGGTACAATTGTCGACTCAAGGGATAAGGGATGGGGATGCCACGTTGTCGTTGATTTAGAAGGCATTATATGATATTGATACCATCCTTTCTATTGTGAATGAGGCTTTATATTCTTCTCATGGACAATAAGGGAGATGAAGGAATCCTTAGGTTGGAAGAAACCTCAAAATGACCTTCTAGAGAGCATTCAGAAAATATCTACTTGTCTAAAGAGTATTTGAAATTAGTAGAACATGGTTACTTCATATTGTACGCCTCTTTCAAAAATGCTTTGGAGCAAGCATAATTTTTCCACCCCGGGGTTCGAATATTCAAAGAAAAATTTCACCATGAGCATGAAATAGTATATGGGAGGCCAATGAATCTTGGTGACGAGTTGGACTCATAGTATTTTTATTAGGATACCTTTTCCTGGGTGTTGTTCATTTTTGAATAATTGATTGTGAATTTTTTTATACATTATTTTTTGAGGTGTATTGTTTATTTATTTGCTTACCATGGTACATATCATTGTAGTTCTCGAGCTAGCTTCTCCATGATTTGGCCGCTGTCCAAGTTCATGCTTGAAAGTTTTATTGGACGTCTCTAAGGAATACTCTTGGACACAATTTTGATCCTCTTCCATGCCCCCAAGTTTATATTTGGTTTAAGGTCCAAAAAATGGGGGGCTCACCTCTTCTGATCTGTAGCAGCTAAATACCAAGAGGGAGGTGAGCTCAGATCACCAATTTTGTTCGGTGGTTTTTTGTTTTTATTTACATGACTTTCAATTTTGGTTTTGATTATTTTGGTCATATGCGCGTGGTGTTTATGATAACAGTTTGTATTCATACATATCTTCGCATGTCAACAAAGAAGATAATTTGGTGAAAACATGTATACATTGTTGGACGAAAAAGATTACATGATAATATGTGCTTTTACATTTATGATTAAAATTACTTAACCAAAGCAACATAATCGTTGTTTATTAGTCCTTATGGCACTGGTTTTCCTTGTTACCGCAATAATTATGTTGTGTCAACATTGTTCTTTGATTGTTTCTAAGAAATAAACCTTAGATTTTTTTGTCCATTGTCCCCTGCACTCACTGAGCTAAAACAACTCATGGTGTACCAATTGGGGATATTGGTCATTCGTTGTGGTGACTGACCACCACTACCTTTAAGTGCTTACTAAGGCAGGTAATGTTAAATTCTAGTGTGTTTTCTTTCTCCTTTCCAATTGGCGTCGCATCTTGGTTGCATTTTAAGGCCATGTGTATTCGTCAGGATCCACATAGGTTATCAAATATTGTCACAGGTTCTTCATAGACATTTTAGTATTTCATATTTAGATGGACATGAGAGGCCATGATTTCAAGTTTTGCATCAAAGGGATTTCTTGTTAGGTAATTTTAAATGCTTTTTTATGGGACTACCAAGAAGTGGAGATATATCATCCTAGTGTCTCTCCTTTCTCCAAGAGTAACCATTAACTATATATATATATCCCTAGGGGTGGGTCATTGTGTTTTTGAAGGCTTACACACCAGAGGCCACATAAAGTGACGACCTCTATCTTTTCAGCCCAATCTTCTAGAAGATTTTCACGTATATGATATCTCATGAGGTTTCCACGTCGATAAAGATTCTTGACACTTAAAAGTTGACCATAGTCGTCGTTATCACCAAAAGAAATTTTTGTTTGGAATACCACCCACTTTCTCGCTATACCTGAATCTAAGAATGGCTTTTTCTGGTTCCCCATAGGGACCTTCCCTCCCTCTTTACTAACTATCATTAATTCATCGATCCTTCATTTTGATGGCCCCTTTGGAGGTGTTCTTTGGTCGGGGGAGGACTCTAGTGATAGATGTTATATATTAACGTTTTCCTCCCTATTCTTCTTATCCTTCGTCATTGTTGTTCTTCCTTCCTTTGGTATCGTCATAACTTTAATCGTCTTTTTAAGGAACATTTTCTCTTAGCGAGGGGATCTCTTTTTCTTGGTGACTCGTCTCGCCTCTAGTATTCTTTTTCTCTTCTACGGCCATATTTCTGACCACCCTCCTTGGTATATCGTGTTAACATTACCATCTTAACACTACAAGAAAATTGGCAAATTGCGACGGTTCAATTTGATAGATTACGATGGTTTTAACCGTCGCAATTTGTAAGTTACGACGGTTTCAATCCCGTCGCGGATACGTGTGTCACGATGCCGTATTGCGACGGTTGTGAAAATTGTCGTACAAACTGTCGTTATTTTCACGACGGGTAGCTAATTGTCATAATCTCCATATTTTGACGGTTTTCAACCGTCTTAACTTGCTTAATGATTTTTGTTTTCATTGTTGATTGCGAAAGTATATTGTGGCGGTTTGAACCGCCGCAAGTTGCAAATATTTTTTTTAAAAAAAAACTATGGTATATTGTGGCGGTTTGAACCGCTGCAAGTTGCAAATATTTTTGAAAAAAAATTTGCACTCAATTTAGGATTCATAATACAGCTATTGTAGGTTACATTAATGGCAATCATCAATATTCATGATATTCACACAATAAACACTAACATAAAAAAGATTTCAATCATTAACCTTGCGTTCTCTAATTTTTGAACCACATCACACATAGCATGTATACAATAACCAATCACATACGCAACAATTCAAACATATAGCACAACAACTATAATTCGCACCAAAATTTAAGTTGAAACAAAACCGACTCGGCAGAAAATTCTCAATCGAAATTTAATTAATCTAATAACAGTATCAAATACTACAACACTAATATACTATTGCAGTGCAACATACGAACATATGAATGTCTATAAGAAGACATTTGTACCATAAATGTAGTAGCTGCCGCTGCAACCACAGATGTTGTGAGTTTTGACTGGATTTGACTCATGATGGTTTGGATGTCAGATCCATCGTGTGGGGTATTAGTAGAAGCTGCAAGATTTCGTGATTCAGATACAGGTCTATGCAATTGGGAAAACCGACTCCGTAGACCTGATCTTATAGAAGATCTGGGTATGTTGATGCCGCCAGACATTGCTGTAGATGGCATTTATGTGTCAACATTAGAAGTGGGAAGTGTATTAGCCATTGTAGTAGAACTAATCTGTTGAGCTAGAGTGCCACGACTAACACCCGGGTGAGAATGCAGTGTGGGGATACCAACTTGGGTTTGACCCATTAACCATCCTTGTAGAAAAGGTAATTCCCAGCCACTTGTGTCTCTTGAAGAAACAAACTGATGAAATCGACCAAACTCTGAATGAACCCTATGATTTGCAGTCTGTCCCGATAGTCCGTATAACATGCCGTTGAGAGAACTTACATCAGTAACGTTTCCGTATTGCCTTCCTTCCAATGGTCGGGTTTCATCAATCTCCATACCATCCATTGTGAGGTTACGGATGCCAATTCCCATTCCATTAGAGAAAGAAGAATGAGTGGGATATTTTGTATCAGGTTGAGAGTTAGTTGGAATCTCGGAGACTGTATCCATTGGGGACGAAGTATCACATTGTTTTGTTACATTTGTATCTGCTTGAAACTGAACCATTGCATGGGACTCAATTTGCATTCTACCCGAGCCATCGTCGTGACTAACACGTTGTAATTCCTCTCTTGACTCATCAACGGTAAGCGAAGGAACAAAGAAGAAAGTCGATGAAGCGTTAGGTGGTTCACTGGACAAAGTAACATGTTCTGTGGGTTGAATATTCGTGACAAAAACAGCAGGTGGGGGATATTCTAAATAACCAATAGATGTTGCCTTTGTCATCGAGGAATCTGAAGAGTCAAGATCATTGACCTGCGCATCAATACAAGCATGTTAACCAAAAAGAAAAGTAAAAAAAGTTTAAATTCCGAATGGGTACATAGGCAACAAAAAACATAAGTTCATTCACCTCAACAGTTAAAAGATATGGTGCAGCATGAGGGTGAAAATGCATAGCCTGTAGAGACCGCCTAGTCTTCAACATAAAAATTGGTGAGTAGGATGCTTCACTTTTCTTGTCGTAGTGCCATATGTACAGCTACACAGTGTTCCAGAACACAATGTAAGGACATAAAAAATCCATTACAACGAAGTGTAATAAATTCATTAAGGATTTTTTTTAATAAAAAAAGAGATGGGAGGTTCTCATAAAAATTACTACCTTGTGGCCTGATGCAACAACAATTATTTCCCCTTTGGCATGAAAAGCAATGGAAGCAATTGGGCGATCTGTGAGAAAACATCCGATAGATCCATCAAACAAAGAACCCAATTAATGCCAGAAAACCAAGCAAACAAATTTAGTAATGGTAGCAAAGGTGATTTAGAAAATAAAATGAGATACAGTAAGTAAATATACATAAATGGTGAGATGTTATACACTCTGATGTGTTGGCATCCCATAATCGAACTTCTTGATCCAAGCTTCCACTAGCAAGTATATGTGGATGCAATGGATGGAACCTAACCTGCAGTCGTTTAGCATAATAATTTAAATTGTAAATGACGAAGCACTTGATTCCTTTTGTAAACTACAATCAATACTAAAAGCAAAAAGCAAAAAGCAAAAGATAAAAACAAATGCACAATAAATTCAGGCAAACAGGCAGATTTCAAGCTTACCACCCAAGGCGTCCTTATATGGCCCATTAACACCTTTAAGCAACGTCAAGTTTCACAATCGATTACCTTTACTGTGTGGTCACTAGGGATGGCAACGGGGCGGGTCGGGGGCGGGTTTAACTATACCCGCACCCGCACCCGCTTCCGTGTAACAGACCCGCCCCCGCCCCCAAATCCAATCGGGGGTGAAAATTTACCACCCAGACCCGCCCCCAGTAAAAAACGGGTGCACCCGCACCCGCCCCGCCCCCACCCGCAAAAAATTATTATTTTTTTAATTATCATAAAAATTAGTAATTTAATTAAAAAATTGATTATTTTAATAAATTAATTAATTATTTAATTAAAATTTTAATTAATAAATGAATATTAACTTGATTAATTTTATTATTTTAATTGCAATAAGAATATTAATAACTTAATTAAAAGTATAATTAATAAATAAATATTAAAATAAATAAAATAAGGAAATCAAAATAAAATATATTATTTGGGGCGGGGCGGGGGCGGGTGCGGGCGGGTCTTAGTGTCTACCCGCACCCGCACCCGTAGTTAAGAACCGGGTTTCACCCGCACCCGCACCCACACCCAATTAAATCGAATTTCTCCCATTAATTTCGGGGCGGGCCCGGGCGGGTGTGGGCGGGCCCGGGTTTGTTTGCCATCCCTAGTGGTCACCACTACACATGGCAAACAAACAAAATTCATTGCAAAGGAACTTCAATTCAAACTAACAATAAGGTAATGAAGTAATGAACTAGTTCAACTTACTGCGTAGATGCAAGAACTTTTCCATCTAGACTAAACGCTGCTGCAATAGTAGACCTTGGGGCAGGTAATAGAGGGCAATACTTGACTGAAAAATGCCTCAATGAATCAGCCTCAACCCGAAGAATCATTTTAAAAGATGTTAGTCCATAAAATTGGACTTTCACAAAGAAATAGCATTAGAAAAATCACAATCTGAAGAGCCTCATTTCAAGATATCATTTATAAACTGAAGTAGTCCAAATACCATGAAAGGAGGCCACGCCTTGCATCTCTTGCTACGTGTTTTATTCTTGGTGAAATCTCTCTCCGTGCAACCAAATTAAAGACATTGCTACAATTTAACAAATTCAAAACGTCAGAAGACAAATACTGTACAGAAAACTTATACACAACCAATCTAAAACGGGGGCAACTTTAATTTCTGCTTTAGTTGATGAACATGTACTTGAAGATGATTTAACATACTCTAGCATGACCAATTACAACATCAATCATATCATACGAATGTGTGATATTCAAGGAACAAAATTAGAATTTTTTAGAATAAACTAACATGACCCACAACCACCCATCTAGATCCTACATAAAAACACCAAGTGAGTGTACACTACCAAGTACATATTATCCATAAACCATTCACCACACATTATCAATATTATAATCCTACAATCTCAGCGTTAAGCTAAGTCCACACAGGTCTCATCTCATTCCATAGCTATCGCCTTCATTGCTTTTCAAGTCAACAATGGTAAACCAAAGTCAAACAAGCCAAAAATCAACTTAACATTCAACAACAATACAGAAACCAGGTTGAAATCTAACCAGCACGCGGAATTCAACCTCAAACAATATCAAACATGCTACACGCATTCATCAAACACAATTTCAGGTGATCCTAATGATTAATCTAACCAGCACGCAGAATCCAACCTCAAACAATATCAAACATGCTACACGCATACCACACCATCGCCTTTAGCACTTACAACTGCAGCACCTTGTTGTTCTATCATGGTCATCGTCACTTCATAGGACTCACCCTTACCCTTTTCTTTCATTGCTGAATGAAGCCGCTTCAAATTTCTCACTGGAAATGTGACATCGCCTTTAACACTTACAACTGCAGCACCTTGTTGTTCTACTACCATCACTTTATAAAGAAAAAATATATATAAACATTGTTACCAAAATTAATTTTAATAAAAGTTAACTATTTATATAATAAAATAGAAAATATTTTACTATTATTTTAGAAAAAATATTAAGCTACATTATTTATGAAAATTATAATAATTATAATAATTATTTATTAAATTAATTAATAAAATTGAAAAAGTTAGAAAATAAAAATGAAAGAAAAAAGTGGAAAATTAAAGGAATAAAAAAATAGTGATTATGATTGGCTAAAGTAATTGTGACAGTTCGCCTTAATTGTCGTGAGTGTGGAAAGAGGGCGGTTCTTTGGTAACTGTCGCATTATTTTATACAACATGCCTAAAAAATTTGCGACGGTTGGCTCAAACCGTCGTGAGAACTGTCGTGGTCCAGGAATAAGGACGGTTTTTTGATAACTGTCACAAAAAATCTACGACAGTTGACCCTAACTGTCGTGACAACCGTCGCAATCCAGGAATAAGGACGGTTTTGTGATAACTGTCACAACTCAAGTGTCGTAAATCTCCTTTTTTCTTGTAGTGTAATTATCTCATCGAATGCATCTTTCAAGTGCAAGATCGCCCGCATTGTGCCCATGACTCTTGTGGAAATGACACAACCCTGTCTTATCAGTCCTAGATCATTCCTTTACTGAGTAATAATTTATTATCACGACTTCCTTGAAGTCGGTGTTAGCACATTCATGCAAAATATTTTCCCTTGATATGTTTATCCACTCACATTAGATAAGAATCTGGTCTACAACCACCGACCTTCTTCTTCCATATATTAGTTATGCTCCCTCTCTATCAATCACTTACTCTTCATGGTTAATGTAGGGTTGGACCCTTGTCAATAGGTCATTTGTAACATCCTAATTTTTCCATACACTAAATAATATATCTAGTTAGATTTGAGATTTTAACAATGCTAGTTATTAAAAATTAAATGTTGAAACTAACACTTATAATAATTAATTTATTAATTAATTACTTTTTATATTTATTACTTTTATTCTTCAATTTGAATATCATCGTTTCATTTTATAAACTAAACTTTGAAATTTAAATTGGTACTTAAAACCCTTAACTTTAAGTTAATTAATTATTCATATTATTATTATCATTATTGTTGTTCTTGTTTTGTTATTATTAATTGATTTTATTTTATTTGAATATTATCATTTTACTCTATAAACCAATTAATAAATAAAATAATCTTAAGACAATAAAAATATCAAATAACTATCCTTTTTACTATTTTTATTATTATTAATATTATTAACATTTTACTTTTTATAAAAGAAATATATATCTCATTTTCTATTAATATCCTACATAATATTATGTCATGAAATCAAGCTCCCATACCTTTGTCATAAATTATTTTCACAAAGTCATACTAGAACACCTAAAGCACTATTGATGAAAGATTAGTAAATATTTGATAGAGACATATTTACTAGCAAGAGTTGAAAAGTTGGAAGGTATGGGCAAAAGATGATAAATTATGTTATTTTAATATTTTACAACTAGTATAAATAGGGGTCTCTTCCACCCCATTTTCATTCATTCAATCACAAATCATCTTTCTTACTTCTTTACTTCTTTCCTTCTCTAATTTCTTCATATAGCAATATTAGTTTTAGTTATCGAAGTTCCCACGATATCGGTTCGTAACCTTTAGAGTATTTTGTGGTAAAAGTTCTTCTAAAGTTTCAAGGGAGTTTTATACGTCAAAGTTCTGCCCAAATCATTTTCATAAGTAATCGGTTCTTGGCAAAGATCGAAGACAACACTTGTGGACTTTCAACAACACTCAACAAAAGGTGGGGGCAAGATTTCGTATACGATTGGGACGGTTAGCGTAAAATAACTTAATATATATGTGTGTAGTGGTGACCTAAGCCCTACTAGCGATAAATAATTAAGGAGAGCCTATTCTCAAATAATGATTTTCACAAATCACTAGGCGAGGTTACGCCGGCCTTAATTAATTATCATAGGAATAATCTTTGACAATTTGGTATTGTATTGTGCTTGCATTATTCGGTTAATTTTATAATTGTTTATTTTATTTATACTTGAATGATTGTGATTGATAGATTAAGGAAATAATCGGTTAATGAGAGAAAAACATTGCTAGATATTAAGTAATTGATCCCCATTAACATAAGGAAAGTTGGATACAATGAGTAGTTATATTTGGTTGGGTTCTGGCTAAGGAAAGACTTGGTCGACTATGCCGTTTACAGTCCACCTCTCTTACCTGGGAAGTTAACCATACAATTACCCATTATACAAACTGAACTTATTATGTAAGGACAAAGATCAAATATGGCAAGACATTGGATGGATTTGGTACTCAACCTAAGTATCTAGATAATAAGTATAACTTGAAAAGTTGATACGATAATTCCCCATTATTAACTTAATACTTATGGCTAAGAGTTGCCACAAGATGAGTGAGTGATCATATAGACTTGCATTAAGGAATGTGTAAGTCCACCGCCGTGCGGTATGGGACGCACGAGGTTGATCAGTCGCCTGCAATCCCGACGGGGATTATTATCTATGCATGCTAGGCAAGACAAGGTTCTTGGCCTGAATTCTCAGGGACGATCGACTTATAACACCTAGGCTCCATGTGAAGTTAGGTGGCGTAGCTCTTGGTAATTGGGAGTACGTTGGTGGCATGTGGTCTAGTGATATCTGATCTTGGTAAATGGGATAGATATCATTGACAGCGTTTAGTGGCCTGAGTCAGCATATAGTTCAGGGATGCATTAGAATAAATAAAGTATATGTAATTGTGGGTATAAGATACGCTTGTTTGTATAAATATGGTTTCCATATATATTATTATTTTACACATTCATTCCCACTTTTAAACTTGTACATGAATCTTAGCCCTGTGTCATTTTTGTTTTGCATTTTGGATTATTTTATGACGATCAGACGATGAGCTCGAATCTTGCGTACTTCCCGACAACTCAGAAGGAAAGGATATGAAGTGACGTGGAGATGTGTTACTATAACATCTAGATTGGGAGCTGTTAGTGTTTTGTCAAACGCTAATCACATCCCTACTACTACAGTCAG